ACAAGACAGAGGACAGTCTGTTTTTTCCTGCCATTTTTTTTTTTTTTAAAGATTGGCACCTGAGCTAACAGCTGTTGCCAATCTTTTTTTTTTTTTTCCCTGCTTTTTTCTCTCCAGATCCCCTGAGTACATATTTGTGTATTTTTAGTTGTGGGTACTTCTAGTTGTGGCATGTGAGATGCCACCTCAACATGGCTTGATGAGTGGTGCCATGTCTGCACCCAGGATCCGAACCAGTGAAACCCTGGGCTGCCAAAGCAGAGCACCGGAACTTAACCACTCCGCCACGGGACCAGCCCCTTCTCCTGCCATTTTATGTTCATTATTTTCTTTCTCTTCCCCCAAAAAGTTAAGTTAGAAAGTCCTATTGCAGAGTATGGCAGACACATGTTAGCAATGGCTGCCCCAAAAGTCACATTTCCAAAAATATCATGTTGAACAAGGGAAATATCATTTAACAACTTAATAAACAAACACTTTCTGTTTGCTTTTGGGGGTGAGGGCAGTGTGAGAGGAAGAGATTTATCTATAGCTCCTACCCTGCTGCTGAGCGCCTGCTCTGGACGTGTCATTAGTGAGCCTCCACGCGGCGTTTCCAGATGCAGGCGTTTACACAGAGACAGCAGCGCCAGCGACAGAGAGGGAAATCCTGAGCTGTCTAATCTGGAGCTGTCATGAGATTCCATGTAATTCATAGGATTGGTAAGAATTCCACCCAAGGCAGGAGTCTAGTGTGACGTATGTGTGAACTTTTCTCTGGTCTTGGAGAATCACGTGGATTGATTGTTAATTTGTCTTCTTTTTTTCTGCAAAGTATATGCATAGGCTGAATGGGTACTAATTCCCAGAAATATGATTTTTAAAAAACGTTATGTCCATTTTTTGGTTTCTGTAAATCCTTATTCCTGAAACAACAGAATCAGTAATTTGGAAACATGATTTAGTATGCAATCATTCCATTTACATTCCTATCGTTTGGAATGCATTTAACGCACAAGATTGTTCAAACTAAATGATGCACAGAATTTCAAGAGCTACAAGAAGACTTGGAGTTCGTCTATTCCTAACCTCTCATTTGAGAGATGAAAAAACAGAAACCCAGATAAGTTACATGCTTTGGGCGGGGAGGGGGAACCCACAGCTGCAAATCCCAATTTGCAATTTCTGCACAGATTGCTTTAATGCACTTTTCTGGTGACTGCTTAACTGAATGATGTCAACTATGCTAATTTCACGACAAGTCATTGACAATGCAAGGGCCACACGATTCATCTGAGAACATGTGTATTTTTCTAGTGCAGCTGGGTGAGCTCTGCCAAGCAAGAAGTCTTAATCTGTGACAGACCCCACTGAAAAGGCCCCAGTGTGACGGATGGCTGTGCCAGCTGCACATTTACAGTCCGTTACAGTCTTTGCTCCCTCAAACTGCCAAGCAGTAAATTTGTATATGAGCTAGGCACTTGTTGTTATTAAAGCTTCATTTTACTGTTTCTCTATGCAACAAACATTTCACTCACTCAAGAAATAAAAAGCCCTCAAATTACATATAGGCAGTCTTAGGCCTGTGGCTAGTTTGTCTGGGGCCCTTGAAAGTAATGTGCAAAGATTTTCCTACCTTTCTGTTTATTATTACAAATAGAAGTTCAGACTCATGGCTGGGGTAGGAGGGACAACTCCTCAGAGGAGCAAGCTGCAGGACGATTCCTGAAGAATCGACCTCCCGGCCAGGCCCGGCCCTTGTGTCTGCCCCGGCGTTATTCCTGCAGCTGGAGTAGGACACCTTCCCACCCCTCCTGATGGCCATCCGAGGTGTCCAAGCTTCTATGACCAGTGAGGTGACAACCACGTTTGAAGGTGGCGCACACTGACCACTGACTGCCAAAGCTAGTCCAGGATGAAGCTGTTCCTCTGAAGCTACTTCTGAGTCATGAAACGTGCAGACGCCCTGCAGCAAAAGCAAATTAGCTCTAGATTTCCTGTCGAGCAGAGCCTTCTGATGGGACCATGGTGTGAATGCTCTCCAGTTGCTTTGCTGAGGGCGAGGAGAGGATGGAGGATCCTCAGGCTACAGGAGGGGCACAAAACTCGTGTTCCCAAGAAAAGAGTCTACGTTAAATTCCTGGATAATTAAGGCAAAACACAAAAATTATTCATTCTACACCTAAATGACCTTTTCTTGGTAAAAATTTTTTTATTTAAAGTTTCGGTGTTTAGTGTCTGAGGGAGGCTTACAAAGGCTACGCTTCTTGCACCCGGAATGTGCAGAAAGTCTGCAGCTATAAACATCTGCACAGCAAATGGGCCGTGCGGCGTGCTCCACCCGCAGCCTGCTAGGTAATTTACGTTGCTTGGGGACTGTAGTTTTCTAATAGATTGAACTGCTAGTTTTCAGGAGGATTTAATGAAATATTGAACCAGATGCCACTGGTCTGCCATGGCTGTGGGAGTGTGAGAAATGAGGAAATGTTGCTTTGTGAACAGCTCGGACCTCTGTGAGGAGGAAACAGTTGAGGCTTTAGTGAAAGAGTCACAGCCAAGAGATAACACGGCGGGTTTCACGGAACCGCGTCGGCACCCACGTCCTGGGCTCATTTAGAGTAGTGGCTGTGTCTAGCCTGCGGCCCTTTCCATTAGCAAGAAGAACCGTCTAAATCTGGAGGTAGGTGACAGGGGCTGAGGTGTTTCTATGTCATAATTGTTGTATAGTGTTAATTCTCTGAATATCCCTGTAATTCCATGGATGTGCTTTTTACCGTATTCCCATTTTCAACACTGTTATCAGATAACTGGCATCAGGATTGAACTAGAGGATTTTTGCAAAGAAAATTGTCCCTTCAGAATTAAATTCTTACATGTCATTTTGAGAGCCCTGACAATTAGATTCTTTCCCTAATTTTTTTTTTTAAAGATTGGCACCTGAGCTAACAACTGTTGCCAATCTTTTTTTTCGTGCTTTTTCTCCCCAAATCCCCCCAGTACATAGTTGTATATTTTAGTTGTGGGTCCTTCTAATTGTGGCATGTGGGATGCCGCCTCAGCATGGTCTGATGAGCGGTGCCATGTCCGTGCCCAGGATCCGAACGGGCGAAACCCAGGGCCACAGAAGCCGAGAGTGCAAACTTAACCACTCGGCCACGGGGCCAGCCCCTTCCTAATGTTTTAAGAACATTTTTTTAATTACCAACCTGAGGACAAGAGGTTGTTTCTCAAAGAAAAAAATTATTCAACTTCTGAGTTCAAATTTTTACTTTTATTTTTCTCTTTAGGAAAGACAAGTATTGCTAGGAAACAGACTTTGGAGCCAGACAGACTTCACTGAAGGTCTCATCTCTCATTAGCAAAGGAGTCATCTCTCAGAACCTTAGTTTTCTCAGCCGTGGAATGGGCATAATACCCACCTTGCAGGATTTTTATAAGGAAAGCACCTGGTACATAGGTAGCACTCAAAATATTCTTTCCCTTCCTTCTTTTTGTTTATCAAACTATTAAAGCAAAACCTCCAATGCTTGATTTTATGAGATAATGCTGTGTGGGAACTTCAAAACTGTCTCATCCACAGACACCCAAGGAAAGGAAAACATTTTGAGTCTTTCTTGATTTAAAAATTGAAATTTTCTATCAAGTTTTGGAATGTTTTTATTTTAAAACTGTTTTAAACACAAAGTAATACAATTTATCCATAAAAGATAAACATTTTAATTTTCATTATGAACTTTCATTTGTAGTGTATTTTTTTAAACTTTTAAATTAAATATTCATTGCAAATTCAATTGAGAAGAGTACAGGAGGTACAAACCAGGTGAGGGGGAGAATGAGTGGATTCCTCTAGTGTGAGAGTGTGAGATGCCCACTTTTCCTTTAGCATTTGAATTTTCTAGAAAGGCTACTGCTGCTTTTTTATACTTTTAAAGCAATATTTTTAAATTAAAAAAAAATATGGCTCTCCCACTTTTACCTCCCCTGAACCAACCCTGGGCAGGCAGCAAGCAGTAGTGTGCGGCGTGGACAGCTCCTGCCCTCCTCCAGGCGCGCAGCACAAGGCCAAGAGGAGGAGGAGACAGCGGAATCACAAAGAGGAGGGCCATGAGCATAGTGCAGATTCTGCCCTTCGCCTTCAAAAAGGAAAATACTGATTACTTGTTCAACCGGAAGGCTCATTTCCTCAACTCTGTCCCCGGGATGAAACCAGCACTCCGCTCCCCCCACTCCCCTGCCCCGGATTCTTAGAAAAGGAAGAGAAAGAAAAGAAAGCCTAGAAAGACAAATAAAAATGAAAACAGCTATTTGAAAGGGTGGTGGGAAGGTGAGTGAATTTCTTTCTCATGTTTCATTCACATCATCACCGTATTTGTGCTATAATGAAGGCTAAGAGTCATCTAAGGCAGACCACGCTCTTCTGAAAGATGTGGGGGTGTGTGTAGTGTGTACATGTGGATGTGAGGGTGGGAGTATTGTGAGCGAACCTGTATGTGTGGAATGTGGAGAATGCACAGTGTGTGTGGAGTTTGGAGTGTGCGTGTGTGTAACAGAAATGTGGAGGTGCTTAGGGTGTCTGTGTGAGAGAGAGTGTGGGTGTGGGAGGAGGGTGGGTGTGTGGACCGGAGTGTGGATAGCGCTGTGTGTGTGTGGATCCTGGAGAGTGTGCACAGTGTGGTGTGCACAGAGTTTGGAGTGTGTGTGAGAGTGAGCGTGCCAGAGGAGTGTGGGTGCGGAGTGGTGCGTGTGAGGAGAGTGTGTACATTACGCGCGCAGTTGGAGTGTGCGAGGGAGGTACGCGGAGGGCGGGCGTGGTGCCCCTCCCCCTCGCGCCCCGCCCCCTCCGGCCCCCCGGCCCCCCGGCCCCCCAGCTCCCCTCTCCACCTTCTCGCCCCCCGCTCCCCGCCCCCTTCCGTCCTCTCCCCGCCCCCTCCCTCCCACCCTCCCTCCCTCCGCCCCTCTCCCTCCCCCCGCGCCCCCCACGCCCCGGCCCTGGCGGCGTCGGCGGGGGGGCGGCGCGGGCCGGGGCGGCGCTGGAGCGCGCGGCGCGGGAGGCCGGCCCTCTGCGGCACGCGGCGGCCGAGGGGAGGGAGGGCTGGGACGCGCACCGGGCGGAGCGTGCCGGGCTCGCCGGGGGCCGCGGACGGCCGCAGGATGTCCTTCAAGGTGAGCGCGGGCTCCGGGAGGCCGGGCCGGGCGGCGGGGCCCGCAGGCGGGGGCGCCCCCGGTGCCGGCGGGCACGGGAGGAAGCGGCCGGGCCGGGGCGGCTCCTGTGGCTTGTGGTTGGGTCGTGTGGGCTTGGCTGGAAAGGCTTTAGAGACCCGGGGCTGCAGGTCAGGCGAGCTTGGCCGCGGGGCGGCGGGGACTGTGGCCGGTGCCAGGCAGGGGCGGGGAAGAAGCCCGGGTCCGCGCTGCCCCGCGGCCGCGCCTGGGAGGGAGCCGGGCTGCGGCGCCGCGTCCCCGCCTGGCGACCTCCTCGCGGATCGCCCGGCGCCGCCGCCGCCTCCCCGGCCGAGCAGTTTGGGACGCTGAAGCTGAGACCAGCGCAGAGTGCATGCAGCTCGGTTGACTACCAGGCTTCAGTGTCCAGAGGAGTCTTGTCTTAGTTTATTAAAGTCGTTCCGTTTAATCACTACAGTTTAGGATGAAAGTGAGGTTGATTTACCTTTATTGAAAGCTTTCAATAAAAATAATAGTTAAAACGTGTTGAGCACTTGAAACGTGCCCGACTCTGAATGAAGGGCGTCACAGTGCATCCTCTGGATTCTCAGGAAGACCCATGAGATGATACTTTCATGGTGGTTTTTTTTTTAAACAAGAAAACTAAAATATGGAGAAGTTAAAGAACTTCCCACAGTCTTGCAGCCAGTAAGTGAATGGCATTAAGATTGGAACCCTAGCATGTCTGGCTCCAAAGCCAGAGTAATCCTCTGTTTTCCAGTAGCTCATGTAAGCAGAGGAATGACGCCGTGAGAAGTGTGTGTTACAAAGATCTCTGGCTACAGTTTGGAGAAGAGAGTGGAGCTGGGAGACCAGTCAGGAGGATGTTGGGGTCATCTTGTTGAATGGTACTGGACTAGGGCACGAAGTGTCAAGGGTGGAAGGATGTAGACAAATGTGAGGGACTTCAAAAAATTTATATCTACAGAATTCAGTAATTGGTGTTATTCACTGAGTTAGGGAAGCCCAGAGAGGTTAAGATAAAACGTTTGATTTGGGACATGTAAAGTTGAAGGATCCATGGGAGTTCCAGTAGCCATGTCGATTAGACAGATGTACACACTCGGAGCTCAGGAGGCTGGCTGGTCTAGGCAGGAGAGAGAGATGAGATTTGGAGCGAGCAGTGGTAAGTGGTAATTGAACCGGTGGGAATGAATCTGATTGCCCAGTGAGACCTTGTAAAGGTAGAAAATAAGAGGACCCAGGACAGAATCTTGAAGAAGATCAAGACTTAAGAATGAGCAGAATAAGAGAAGCTCATTGAGAAAACTAAGGAGCAGCCACAGATGCCTGAGAACAATGAGAAGCGTGTGCTGTCGTTAGAGCCAAGAATCTCTAGTCTTTCAATGAAGATGGAGAGGGACTCGCAGTTGATTACCACAGAGGAATCAAACAAGCTAGGAATTGAAAAGGGTCCCTCTAACTTGGTAACAAAACAGCCACTGGTGATCTTGCTGAGAGCAGTTTCATTGACGTGTTGGGTTCATGAAGCCAGATTGCAATCGCTTGAAAAGAAAGTGAGTGGTATTCCGCCACACGCCCAGCTGGGTGAGCAGTGCGGGATGGGTTGCTGAGAGACCAAAGAAAAGACCCGGAGACAGCGAAGGAGACATGCGGGTTTATTGGGAGTTACTTACAGGGAAGGTCCAGTGGCGGCTGGCTGGACAGCAATGTGCATCCGCTACCGCCCCCTGAGAGAGGCTTGGTTAAGTAGGCAGAGAACAAAGGCTGCATGCTTGCCAAGGGCTGTCCTTGGTACGACCAGCATTCTCAGGAACAGTAGCTCACACGGAGGGCTCTGTGTCCCTGTAAGATGCGATGTTCTTTACTTGAGATAAGGGAGGATCCAGGCTAGCCAGGCCCTAGATTGTTACAGATCCCAGCAGCTGGGCGGCCTACCCAGAAGGGAGCCAGAAGGACACATGGTTGCAATGGGCCTGGGGGCTTTTGCTGAGCAGGCAAGGCCCAGGCCCTACAAGTGGAAATCACAGTGTAGAGAACTCTTTCAAAATATTCTGCGAAAAACAGTGTCTGCAGCAGGGATCCAGCCAAGCCAAGGGTTTGTTTGCTTGTAGAGACTTGAATGTCTTTAAATGATGATAGATATCTCAACAATAAAAAGACAACGCAGTTTTAAAATGGGCAAAGGATATGAATAGACATTTCTCCCAGGAAGATAAACACATGGCCAATTAGCTACTGAAAAGATGCTCAACATCATTATCCACCAGGGAACTGCAAATCAAAACCACAATGAGGAAGCTCCTTTCTGCTTGCTAGATGGGATGCTGCCCGATTCATGAATCACTGAAGAAGCCAGTTAGATGTTTAAATTAAAAAAAAAGAAAAAAACCGCCATGAGATACCACTTCACACCCACTAGGATGATTGTAATCAAGAAGACAGACAATGGCAAGTGTTGGCAAGGATGCGGAGAAATTGGAACCCTCATACATTGCTGGTAGGAATGTAAAATGATGCAACCAGATTAGAAAACAGTTTCTTCATTCTTCGAAAAGGTAAACATAGAGGTACCATATGACCCAGAAATTCCACTCCTAGGTGTATACCCAAGAGAAATGAAAACATCTGTTCACACAGAAACTACAACACAAATGTTCACAGCAGTATTATTCATAGTAGCCAAAAAAGTGGAAACAACCCTAGTGTCCATCAACTGATGATAACCAAAATGTGCTATGGATTAGCTTGGACTGCCATAGCGAAATCCCATAGACTGAAGCTTAAACAACAGGAAGTTATATCTCACAGTGCTGGAGACTGAGAAGTCCAAGATCAAGCTGCTGGCAAACTCGGTGTCTGGTGAGAGCCTTCTTTCTGGCTTGCAAGCAGCCCCCTTCTTGCTGTATCCTCAGTGAGGGAGAGAGGGAGACGTGGATCTCGTCTTTTCCTTATGAGGGCACTAACCACACCATGGGGGCTCGATCCTCGTGACCTCATCTAAACCTAATTACCTCCCAAAGGCCCCACTTCCTAATACCATCACATTGCGGGTTAGGACTTCAGCATGTGAATTTGGAGGGGCAGGACGCCAACGTTCAGTCTGTAATTTGGTGTATCTGTACGATGCAGTATCATTCAGCCGTGAAAAGGGGTGGAGCCCTGATATGTGCTGCAACACAGGTGAAGCTTGAAAACGTTATGCTAGGTGCAGGGGAGCCAGACACAAAAGGCCACGTGTTGTATGATTCCATTTATATGAAATGTCCAGAATAGGCATATTCATAGAGACAGAAGAATTAGGGGTTGGCAGCGGCTGGGGAAGAAGTGGGAGACGGCGAGTGATTTTTAATAGGTACGAGGTTTCTATTTGGGCTGAGGAAAACGTTCTGGAAAAATGGTGATGATTGTACAACCTTGAGAATACACTAAAAACCCCTGAATTACATGCTTTAAAAGGGTGAATTTTATAGTATGGAAATCATATCTCAAAAAAGTATTTTAGGGGCCAGCCCGGTGGAGCAGCGGTTAAGTGCGCACGTTCCGCTTCGGTGGCCTGGGGTTCGTCAGTTCGGATCCCGGGTGCAGACAGGGCACCACTTGGCAGACCATGCTGTGGGAGGCATCCCACATATAAAGTAGAGGAAGATGGGCATGGATGTTAGCTCAGGGCCAGTCTTCCTCAGCAAAAAGAGGAGGATTGGCAGCAGTTAGCTCAGGGCTAATCTTCCTCCAAAAAAAAAAAAGCATTTTAAAATGATGATAGGGAGTACTGAGAGGGCTTGGGGTACAGGGATGACTGAGCTAGGTGGTGAAGTGCTCCGGAATGGACATGGGCAGAGAGCTCCAGCAGAGCTCTCTTAGTTGTTGGGGTTAGCTAGACGGGTGGAGGAAAACGTGTTCCACTGGGGTAAGAGGACAGGAGGTGAGATTGAGCATGGACGTCAGTGTTTGTAAAGTGAAGGCCAGGGTGGGGTCAGAATTTGGGGTGTGCAGAAAGGAAGGTGCCCAAATTTTCAGTTAAGAAGGAAGAATGATCAGGAGGTGACGACTGCCTGGAGGTGAGGCAGAAGAAGCAGAGATTTGTACACCTGACTAGAGGGGCAGTGTCTGGAAGCCGGGTGAGGAGGGCCCAACCCCAACTGCTACCCAAGGTTTCTGTGGGAGAGGGGCCGGCCTCCGCCAGGGGTGGGTGCGGGGGAGCCTAGGCAGGGAGACAGAGGGGGCGCTCTGTGCTGGGTTAGGATGAAGAGGAGTTGATTTCCTGTGGAGTTCAGAAGGCGCAGAGGGGAGGCTCTGCCTGGGGCAGAGTCGCAGGCCAGCTCACCAAGCCCACACCAGGCCCAGCTAACATCATATCAGACATACTAAAATGTACCCGCAGCCTGTGACAATAATAGACTTCTCATTGCACATTTTTGGGAGCATTTTTATGATATTGCTTTTAAAATTATTTAGCCATGAAAAACTTTTGATTTACGTTTGTCCATGATTTTTCTACAATTCTCATATATAGTCAGTTATTCTTGTGTAGTGAGAAAATCAGACCTACAAATTATTTATGTGTCATCGTTATTTTATGAATACCAATTTTAGCAATAAAGTTGGTGAGATGTTACAATTTTGTAGGTATCAATTAAATATTCATTAGCTTTGATTTTGGAGCCATAGATTAACTGTTTCGTTTTCACAGGCCCCTGAAAGGCAGGCCCCAGACCCTGGGTCTCCAAAGCCTTTGTTAAAGAGGCCCAGCATTGCTGGCCGAGTCTGTCTGTGGGAGAATAAACAGAGCGTTGTAAATCACAGTTTAGCTTCCTCGTGACTCAGAGGCGTGCGAGGAGGGCTATTTGCTTGTGAACGTTGCCTCTACTTTTTGTCCTTCCTCCATTATACTGTCAGCAGTCTCTTCTCGCTGGTGTCACTTTGCCTCCAGCAAACTTCCTCTTTACAATTGGCAACCCCTAATTAGTTCCGGTTGGGAAGAG